TAACTTCTCATGACTGGAGTCTGCGTAACTAATGATCGCGGCCAACTTCGTCGTTGACGACCACATTAGGATCAACTAGGGTAAGCACATGCTTGCAACTATTGATGACTAAGCGCTAGAAAATAAGATTTCTGCCTAACCGCTGAGGCAATTCGTTAACTGATAGGATACACATATACTTCCGCTAGTGGTTATTCGTCTCTCTCGACATCTAGCCCGCGCCGTTGCTTCAAAAGCCTCAATGCGACGTATTTATCTACATGCTAGGACAGTCTTAAACTTAAAGCGCGCAGCAGAAGGACTGCTTTATAATACGACATTCTCTATCCTAGTATTGATCTTGTATAACGGGCACCCCTTTGGTTGAGTGCCACGAAATTTCACGTACACTCGTACGTGCAGAGAAATCTTATCTAATACAAGTGATATTTGAGTAAAGGTCCAAAGAGAACTGTATTCATTATAGTTAAGCTATCAATATAACTTAAGTGTTTATCGAACTACATTAATCTACGTTGTCGTATGACGAAAACCTGCTCACCACCCATTGCGCGCGTCTAGCAGCGGTTGTTGATAATCTTGGATGGTATGTCTCTTATCAACCAATCTTCAATCAGCACGTGAATATTATTTTAAGGGATAGTGTTCTTTTATAAATACGCATCTCGGGTTATGCCGGTTAAAGATTGTCAAGCTAGACAATCTTCCTATTGACATCCTTTGGCGTCATAACATGTAATAGGCTACCCCGTTTCATCTTTCCTGAATTGAGATTAACGGCTAAGAACGCGCATTCGTTTTTTTTGTCTGTACGAAATTTGAGTTTGATACTCAAAAGTATCGACACGGGACTAATTGAGCTGCACGTCACAACGAGGGTGTCGCCACTGCCACCTAAATTTCCAATTAGATATTCAAGAGGCGATGTGTGGAACTTGCGAAGACAGCTTGCTCAATATATTGAAAGAATGCCGGATATAGGATTGCTGAACCACGGCCTCAGGGAAAAGGCAAAGCCAAACTTGACCGACGCTAGCGATAATTTCTCGAGCTCGCTTTGCTTCTCATGCCACAAGTGCGCCTAGTGAGTATCGAATCTGTTCTGGTCGACAATGGATTTGCGAGGGTTTATGAGCGCTGTGCACATGGAAAATGCTCATGTGCAAGCAGACCTGGTATCGAAGGGATTAGTTTGGAATAATTCGAGTTTTCTATTTGTCCTGCGGTGTCCCTAGCCCATCCTGATCGGGCGAGTCCCTAGTGCATGATGTGCTCCGTAGAGACGATATACGAATGATATACAAAAAGGCTTACGCTTTGACGGGGTCACACGTTCGTTATCGTCCTGAAGGGATACACCTTGTGTACGTGATATACAACTTATAATTTCATCTGTGATAATTGATGTGGTAGACAATATCATTCATCCATTAATGACAGATTGATGTACCGTTCATTAATCTTTAATAGACTGAAGATTGCTATGCAAATTAGTAAACCTTAGTATAGGTAGCAATTTCTCAATCTCTTTATTAGTCCCTTAAACCAGCTCTAGAAGCTCTACGAGTGTTAAGATCTTAAGAGTCTTTGCTGACAAGTCTAAGAGCTAAGCATTCTTTAAATATAAATGCACTTAGTTCCGTAGAACTAAGAAACTTCTAGAGTCATTTGTCTTCCTCCGGCTAATCTATGTGTTGCTCCACAACATACGACGCAGAAAGACTTGATGTTCCCGAGGCTTTACGTACAACGTCGAGTTTTATTCAACACCTTCTGTATACTACCTAATAACTAAATCGTTTTGTGTAATGTGGCATAGGACCCTTTACTTTAAATTTCTGATTTACGTATACACTAAAGCTAAATCTGATTCAGGATACCGGTCATAATCCGCATTTGTAATAAATCGATAGAAATTCAAAACCAGCTATAAATTCTACAACCTGCCTGTCGTATTTCTGATCGCCAGATTTTACATGTCGTCCTTACATCTAACGTACACAGTTGTAGGATCACATTAAAAATTCTAGGATAGTGTGGCTATGAAGAAGACACTCGAAAGATTTTTACATCAGTGTGCCGTTGAAATTAAAACTACTAGTAGAACGAAATGGTTTAATATGGCGTGCATGTCTACGGACGGTATTGGAGGAGTAGTCGGGCTTGAAAGTTTCTATTTTTTGTACAGTCCAGCTTTTGTGATACATTTAGGATACAATGAACGTATAAAATATATATGCAGACGACGAAGCCCCTATATTTTATTGACTTTAATGTTTAGGAAACATGAATGTCATTCTATCAAAGTCTAGTTTGAATTTCATAATTGTACGCCAGATATGCATAGTTTACGGCAGATATAAATTACATCTGAAAATAGCAAATTATTCAGCAAAGATAATCTGAAATATTAAAAAGTAAGCTACATCATGATAAATGGTTTTATTTCTTGTCATCACAAAGGAAGTGGATCAAAAATATTTGGTTGCCACTATTCTGCCATATCTTAACGAATAAATTCGATGTCTGAAATATAATTCCGAAATGTAAAAAACGCTTGTAGAGTATTTAATGGTTTTTTGCTTTATTACGAATATTTAACGGTAATAATTTAAAAAAATTGCAAACACTTAAAGAAAACTGCTTTACTGTTTTTAGTTGTATTAATGCCTCATAGCTACTTTATTTTATTTAGATAGGAATGTAAAGTTGGCGCCGGGAGGTGGTGGTCATGCAAAATGGCCAAAAGCATACTCATCACGTCAGATAAACGCTTCGACATAGAACAACGCACTATTAGTAAGATAGGGGCGCACTTTATAGCTCACCCTTTGCTATAAGTTATCAGTTTATAGAGCTAAATAAAGTCGCAAAACATTACACGACAGCATCAGTTACTGAAAGAGGAGTATGGCGCTGTTGTTGTATGTTTTTACTAACCTATTATAGTAGGCTAAGGCAACGCGATCGGCCACTGCTTATGAGCGTCCAACATTTGCGTATGTGATCAAATTCACCTTCGATCGATTTTAAGCCAATCACATGCTTGCTTCACAATATTGACCAAGCCGTTTAGTGACACCTAGCATGCTAATCGACCCATGAAGAGGGACAGGCTAGATCGTTTCTAGTGCGAGTCAGGTACACCTCACCACGTAATCTACAGATACACACTCAGAAAGCGACAGACACACACAGATAAGCACAATTTAGAAGTTCGGCATGCAACCTTGCGCACACTCACTACTAGCTTCACCCTTCGGGCTCGCAACAATCATTGCCGTGATGCACAGTAACACACGCCTTAAGTATATTGAACACGGGCCGGCCTCTACAGGATCTACTACACCCTTACAGTCTCATTTGCCCACAGGAGTTGTTGTCTCCTACGATAAATGGGGATGTCTAAATCAATGAGCACATTTGCCTGGCGTATTGACCTACTCCAGACCTCATGCGTATAAATTATCAATGATATGACGGCTGAATAGACGCAAATTGATGCAGCGAACAAGACAGGACCTTGCATTCTGGTCGTCACAAAGTGGTAAGGCGTGGCTTCCTATTTCGTGGCGCACGCAAGTTTAGTACCTTGTATAGGTTGCAGGCGACTGTGGGTCTAGCAGTCACAGCAAACACACTTCACTCTACTTTTCTGCGATGAAATTCAAGACTCGATTGTGGGTTAAGCACTTCCGTGCTGCTGATTCACATGTTTTCAAATGCAACCAACGGTAAAGCGAATCTTGCGCTAGTACTTGTCTGGTGCAAAATTCGCTTTACCGTTGGTTGCGTATGGCACAACGAGGTCAGAAGTAGCACAATTACTTGAATACTGCGGGTTAAGATCCGTGCGGCGCAGATACTAGTTTTTCTTGTCGCTGAAAATCAACAGCTGTCAATGATGTGGTCCATGGGCACGTCTTCCTCTAGTTGCGGCAATTGTTTCTAGTTGTCTCATACAAATCTACACAATAATTACAATACGTTGGAAGCGCACGACAAAACCAGCACAAGAGCAGCTCTACCAGAGTTTCAAATTGGGCGCCCACAACCACGCCCACCCACGCCATGTTTTTTACGGTCATGAGTGCGAACGAAGATTGGTGGGTGGGCGCGACGTCACAAGCTTATATTATTTAATACCGTTATTTGCAATAACTTTATTTATTACGGTGTAAGAGGCTTATTTGTACAGTTTAAACCTGGTGATAAACTTGGCATAAGAATTGGAGCGAGCGTGGGTGGGTGCGCTGAACTTGAAACAATTGATAGATTCGCGTGGGTGGGTGCGCTGAACTTGAAACAACTGATAGATTCGCGTGGGGGACACCACCCACGCCCAAGAATGTTGGCCTTTGCGCGGGTGCGGTAAGCTCCGATTTGGAAATCTGAGCTCTACACATGTCAATCAGATGGATCGTCCGCAGCCGAACGGTCCGAACAAACGCACGCAAGGTGCGGTCTGATGCGTTCTACATCGCATCTGTCGTTGTACCTCCTCGTGCGTTTGAGTGGTACAAGCGACGGCCAAGATTCTTTGCCAATTCAGCAGCAGCCATCGTGTCAACGATTCTCTTGAGAGAATCTCGAACATGTCACTTTTACTCTATATCGTTTTGATGGAAAAGAACAGACGCGTGACGAAAAACTCGACTTCACTTCGCTCAGCGCAATGCCTACTTTTGTTCTGCCCTACTTTCCAGCAGGTTTTTGGCAACATCGATTACCGCACTCAACAGCGCACTGCAGATTCTTGCATCGGTACGTGATACTTTCACGCACTGTAGCTGCGAACTCGAATCGCAATCTTTCGATCGCTATTTCGACGACTTTGCTCAGAACTTTGAAGATCGAGCAACAGCTACTTTTTTCGCCGAATGGTCAGAACCACGCCCGGTTGACAGCGAGTTGCTGTCCACTTCTATCGCCACGATTTCTTGCATGAACGTCTCCCTCACTCTCCAACTCGATACGCACTCGACAAGTCGACAGCAGTCATGGTCGTGGACGAAACTTCCCACGACTATGAGAGGCTGGCCACACCCGTGTCGGAGTTGCGGCCAAGCGCAATGCTCAATGACTGCCACCAGAAGCTGGACACGGATGCTGAAGATGAAGAGGAGCACTACTACTCGACTATGCCGCTTTACAAGAAGACCTTGTGGGGCATCTTCTATAGCTTTGCGTCGGTGGCCGCGCTCTACTTCTTTATGGTGGCTGTCAAGCTCATTGGAGACGGTATTACGGTCGCCCTCGGATGCGACACCAAGGGCGCCTTTGACTTTGCCGACAACCCAGTGGCTGGTTTAATGATCGGTACCATCGCCACTGCTCTTCTCCATAGTTCCGGCACCGTGACGTCCATTGTTGTGGCCCTGGTAGGCTCCAGTGGCATGACTATTCGCCAAGGTGTGTTCGTCATCATGGGTGCAAACATCGGCACGTGCGTCACGTGCATCATGGTAGCTTTTGGTCAAGTCGGAGATCTCGTCGGTTGTTTCCAGCGGGCCATGGCAGCCGCCACTGTTCATGACATGTACAACCTCTGGTCAGTCTTTGTGCTATTCCCTCTTGAATGGGCTTTCCACCCACTCGAGAAGCTGTCGGTCGCTATGTCGAACGCCCATACCGACAGCGGCGCCTTTAGCAGTCCAGTTGATGTCGTCGTGAACCCGCTTGCAAAAGAGGTGATTGTCGTGGACAAAGGTGCTGTCTACGACGTTGCTGCCGGCGCTATTGAGTGCACGTCAATCCAGTCGTTTGTCACTGGTGGTGTATTTGAGGGCTCGAGCATGGGTGATGGGAGCATCGGTGCCATCACTGCTCTCATTGGCGTCTGTATCCTAGTCTGTTCTCTGTTCACCCTGGTCAAGATGCTTGCAAAGGTCTTCACGGGTACTACAAAGCATCTGGTCTCCAAGCTCCTAAACTACAACGGCTACATTAACATTATCGTCGGCACGCTGATCACATTTTGCGTCCACTCATCGACAGTTGTGACATCCACGATCACGCCGCTAGCCGGACTGGGAGTTATCACGCTGGAACAAGTTTACCCGCTGGTGATTGGAGCCAACTTGGGGACCACTGGCACGGCGCTACTGGCTGCGCTAGTCACTGGGAGGTCCGACTCTGTCGCAATTGCTCTCGTGCACTTCTGGTTCAACGTGTTCGGTATCATACTCTTCTACCCGATTCCAATCACCCGCAAGCCCATCCTGAGCTGGGCCCGATCACTGGCTTTCGCGAGTGCTGCATGGCCAATGACCGCTGTACTCTTTCTGATTTTCCTGTTTCTCGTGGCCCCTGGCATCTTGCTTGGTCTGGTCTACATGTGCACCGCCAGCAGCACTGCGGTGCAGGTGATTGGATACATTATTGCAGCTATTGTTGTCGTGGTAACGATGGCTTCGCTGTTCTGGTACTTGCAGAAGGGCGGTCGTTCGCTCTGGCATGCGTTCTTGGAGAAAAAGCGGTTGGAACGTGAAGCTCGCACTACACGCGATACTACCAGATCGTGCACCCAGATTAGCTTACCTTCCAATGCGGTGTGAACAATCGCTGCCTGTGCAAAGAATCCGTGGCCGATGCAGCTGCTGAACTAAACAGCTGATATCTTCCAATTCGTTAGTAGTGCGTGTGGAAGTCTTGCGCAGTCTTAAACCCAGATGCAATGCGAACAGTATGCACATTTCCTTGTACCACATCTGAGTTTGTAGGGAAAGTTCATCATGGCCAGCTACGCGTTGAATCAAGTCCGGTAGAAGCACAGCTTCGTCATCTGCAACGACTGGTGTACTAGCGATCTCCACGATCGTCACCCTCATGAGTCAGTAATCTGAGTAAAGGATCGTGCGAGGGGCGTTTCCAATCACCGTGAATCAGAGCTGATCTTGCGTTGATTGACGACAAAGAGAAAGCTGATATTTGGTGCAAAATCGAGTGTATTTGTATGTAGTGGTAAATCTTTGAGACCGATTCGTGGCCTTATGAGCTGATTAGTTGTGCTCTTCTAGGCACAATAGCAGCATCTTGCATCCACATGTGATAGTTCAGTTCGAGCGCCGAAAAGATTAGCTATCGGTTGTTGAAATCAGAAATGCGCGATGTACGTCTAAAACGGTGATAACAAGTTATAAGCACGACCAAGCCTTTCTTCCTTCATGCATGTTCGCCTCGTTCACCAAACGCCTATTACTTGGAATATCCTCCAACAATGCAAGAGCTTGACACCCGAGGCGACAGCTAATCGTTTGTCTGCCAATATCCAACCTGCGGTACAGAACTGTAGCATGGTGCCATCGGGTCCACCATACAAACGCGGGCTGAAAGCTAACAACTCTAAGCTCAGTCGGGGGTTGGTAGCAGTTCAAACACCACAGAACGCACTCATAGCAGTGCTTCCGTTAGCTTGATGGGCGTGATATTGACGGCAAAGAGTAGATGACGCAGATAGACGAACAGAAAGCAACAACATGCCCCGATATTACACAACTTCATGACAGCGTGGAAGTTGCAGCGGGTGTGTCATCGTCGATTGGAGCAGGCACCCTTTACAGAAGCCTGCTACACTTCTGCAAAGTCTGCTACAATATGTATCAGTTCTTGCCAGTGTTTCGCGATCAACTGCGTGAAATGCTATGCTCCGTTGGGTCCATTTCTCTTCGGTGGCGGATATGGGGTGGTGGCTATCATACACCAGGTCTGATGAAGACCGCGCCTCGCTCAACGTTTGTTGGTCTGGTCACCCAGTGCTCCCCGAGTTTACGACGCGCTACGCGCCCTTTGTCTTTATTTTCGATGCCCGTAATGACCGGACAGTCGTGACAACGTGGGTAAGCAGGATGACGATGAGTGTTGCAGCATACGTTGCAAAGACAAACGATTCATGCGGCAAGTGGCAGGCTGACACTTCCGGCCGAACGTGGCTACCACGAGACAGCTGCAGCAAAGCATAGCTCGGGTCAGGACGCTGACCCCACGAAAACGCCGGGATAGTATACTCGATAGTCTTCTCGCCAGGGTGGTGATACGCACACCACGCGTGCGTATGTCCCGACAGCACCAGATCTGGCTGCAACTTGCTCAGCAGCTCTGCAGAGAGTTCGCGCGAGAGTACGTGGTGGTGTACCTCATACTTGTAGCTCGGGTGTTCGTACGTGACGTGACCCGACTCGCTTAGCCGCTCTTCGCCACATTGGAGATCGTCCCCACGAAAAAGTGGCAGGTGAGTGAGCAGCACCACACTGCCACTCGTGCGCGCTCGAAGGTCGCTGGAGTTAACGCTCTGTAAGAAGCTCCTCGCTTCAAGCTTCACCTCCTCACTCGTCACATCCGTGTCCAGCGCCATTGTGTTTAGACTCACAAACGTCTGTCCTTGAATCTCTTCGACGCGATTCGCTGCTCCAAACGTGACTTCGAAGCGCTGAAGATTCTGCATCTGCATGTCCCGTCCGAACGACACGTCGTGGTTGCCAACCTGCTTCGAAACACAGCACGCCAGCAAGTGGAGGCAGTTTAGACCTCATCAGTAGTCCCCCCATCCTCCATTGAGTGCTGGTCAGTTACAGTTACCGCACCAGGTACATCGTTTTTAACGGCAGGAAGCTGCTAAAAGCTCGGAAAAAGCGCGAAGTGTACTCGTCCCAGTCCGAATCCAACATCCGACGACCGCCTTCGTCAAACTGATCTCCCAGAACGAGTGCCACCTCAGGCTCATGCACATCAACCGCCGCCCTAACGGATGCTCGCACCTGCCAGTCCACCCACCAACGCTCGATCCACGAGCGCCGTCTCTTGCCTAGCAAATGGACGTCCGTCACGACCAGGACCAGAAGCGAGTCACTCGAGCGGGTTGTACGCGAGAGGGGCTGCAGGTGACAACGCCACGCTTGCAGGTAGAACACCCCAACTTGACAGAATAGCACCACCGTTGTGGCTAGCAGTAGATCCCAGAACGTCGCGGCCATTTTTAGCATCTTTAGCTGCCACGATTGCGGTACTCGTTTGATGCCAGAAATAAAGCAAATTTTGGGACTACCCCCTCGAAGTTATAATCAGCGACAAAAATGTTGCTCGAAGCAGCGAGAGCGTAGCAAAAGTCTGGTTGATTCAGCACTGCTTTGTTATCAATCGTGCGTGCGAGAAGACTGATGAACAAGACACGACCGACGTGTGAGAGAACGTAGTCATAGACGACCATTGAGCAAAAGGCAAACTTAGTGATATTACAAAAAAGATCATGTCTTCTGCTGTTAAGAGGTGACTGATGGGCTGGAGCGCAGCTGGGCTCAAGCGCGAGAAAAAGGGGTTCATCAAAGCTACGTCTGTGCAACGGATAAGCGTCCATTGTCACCATAATGTAGTTTTCCTTCCTAGCAACTCCACCAGTCTTTTCCCAGCAACCCTTCGGAGCCAAATGATACCTATAGAATCCAAGACCTCGTCTACAGCAGCTCTTTGTTGGATGGCGTCACGTGTGCTAAAGTCGCGCTTCGTGTAGGATGTTGTAACTAGTTTGGCGCCTGGTAGGCTACAAAATCTTGCATCGATTGGCACAAGACCGGACAGGATAGTGGAGAAGACAGAGGGTCAGTGATTGCAAGATTGAGCTTAACCTGGATCATGAGGGGATGAGAAGACAGCACGAAAAGAGAAACGATTGAAGACACAAATAGCACTTTCTGACGTACAAATGCTCGTAAAACCTGCAGCAAGGCGGTCGAAAGAAACTAGTGCAGACTGATGCAGATAAAGATCGAGACGTAGGGAACGCGAAGTCATATCACACAGCCGCCAGACATATAATCGTTACTCCTGTGATCGATTTCAGCCGCTGGCCGATCGAAACAGAGCAAGTGCTCGCCAGACAGGATGAAGTGGTCCGGGCATATGAACAGCAATTAGCACTTGCATACCAATTCGACTGAAATGATCTCCATCATCACGCGTCACTCGTGGCACGGCTTTGTAGCCATAGCACTCAACTAAATTATCCGTCATGTAGCTGGACAAGAACCGCCGATTGTTGTATTTTTGAATAGGGTGTGGTTGCTAAAGTAATGCTGGCCGGCTGTAGCACTCTACCGCTGCCTTGCCAAGCATTTTGACAAAAGTAAATAAAAGTAGGAGCACTTTGGCAATTGAGTGGATAAAACTAGGAGGCTCATGAGAGACAACTCGAGCGCATGATGCGTGCATACGAAGGCTCGCTATGCTTCCGAGTCCGTCTGATAAACCGCATCACAACTGCGGCTGCTCGCAACTGTTATCCCTGAATAGAGATTTATGATTAAACTTTGAACGACTACAGATTCAGCCGTGTATGCCGCCTCCAGGGCCATTGCAGCCATTACAATCGTCCGTTATTGGCACTTCGCTGCGAAAACTAGTTCGCCGATGGTTTTCAAAAGCATGATGGTCGCACTATGATTGTAGTTTTGACGCTGCAAAAGCAACAATAGGATTGGACAATCAATACCCTCGCAAGTTTTTTTCTGTCTGGATGACCTGGATGCTATCAATGTGACCTTTCCAAGCGGACCTCTGTTGACGATGTCACCGATGTCGATGGAGTGCTGTCCGACCCATTCTTACTCTAATCGATGCAATGGTAAAAATCTGCCATCATTGATAAATGTCTGGCATCTTAAATATGTTGATCTCGGTGGTGTGCATACAGGCAAGGTACACAAGACTCGTTTGAAGCGACCTCTACCTTGTTTGCAGATTCATTTATCAGTGACCATCTACTAGAAAAATCGACAGTATCCGTCGCTGCGCTTGCGTGAATTTCTCTTTTGATCGCGAGTTTTCGACGCTTGCTATCTGCTACTGCGGTCTCGGACATAATCTAGCGAGGGTAGGGAAGTCAATACTAACGAACGCAAGAGTGGCACGGCCTCCTTGACGACAAACTGGTTATTGAACTCGCAGGACGTAAACACATCGGCATCGGTCAACCCAGAAAATGCTTTTGTTTATACTGCTTCAGTCCATTTACGGCTCCCGAACAAGCGGCCGCTAAAAGTGTAAGTACATCGCCCTCGGTTATTCAACATTGAGCTGCTACTCGTACGTTCACTCCTAAGCCCTATTAACGCCTAGAGAAACATTCCAACGAGCACGCGCCAGTGTGGCTATCACACAGTACGGCCTACCTACCATACAGCATTTTGTCGTCCCGGTAATCCAGAACGACGTCCACGTCCTTGTTTCATAGATTGCACTATCACATAAAATCATTATCTCTGATAGTTGCTAATAGCAAATTTAGTCCAGAAGATAACATTGACGACATTATCTCTGAAAGTAGTCATCAGAATATAACGTTGAAGGTAATATTCTGCTAGCAGATTGTTGATGTTTTGCTCATTGGTTGATGGTTTACGCCACTACATCAAGAACTAAACCACCAATCGCTGCTAGTCGTGTGCAACGGGCGGTGTGCGAAAAGTCATCCTCACTATTCATAATTTAGTATGATCAAGTCATCGCTGAAGACAACAATTGATTTGGACTTAACGATGACTATGTAACGGGGTGAATCGTTACATAACAATTTATCAGAAATTGTTAATAGAATATAACTATAAGAGTTATATCCTCAGAATATTGTCATAAGGACAAATATTCTGTAGCACTTACGAGTAGTTCCTAATTGGTTGATATAGGCCATTATATCAACCAACGAAGACGCGCCACGACAGACGCACGCAATGAGTGGTGAGCAGATAGTTGATATGCACATTTGTATTTAGACATAGTTAGATGAAGATGAATAGTGATTTATTGCAGACATTAACTATTATAAATACAGTTCTACTTTTTACTTTAACCAAGTACTCGCTTCTTCTTACCGTCTTCCTCTGCACGTACGAGTGTACGTGAAGTTCCGAGGCACCGCCTTATTCTGTCATCAGAATAAGTAGCTTGTACTGTCACCAGTACAAGCTTCAGAGTGCCCCGTTACAGACTAAAACACTTCCCCTTTTCTCTTTTCTGAGCAATCCACTGCTTTTATTATAATCAGTATGCACGTTCCGTGTACGTGAGCTCTGAGAGCGCGTACCTTTGCACTGTGATCAGTGCAGAGTATAACCTGCTATTGGTAAGCGCACACTTCGTTACAGTCATAAAACGGGTAAGATACGGACGCTGGTCTGCCGCGCTTCCATTGCTTCTTGTGCGGCGCATAATTTGCAATTGTTGAGCGTGCGACCCGACACGGTCAGAGAAAATGTGAGGAATACAGATGCTGGTCTACCCCGCTTCTATTGCTTCTAGCGATTGTCCTTATGGTGCTTGAACATACATACATGGTGTCGCAATCTCGTAAGCAACGAGCTCTAACAAACTGATACCAACAAAGAAAATGCTCGCTAAATGCCTTGCTCTCCGCGATTCTTAATTTAAAATGGAAGCGCAAGGGGCGTTTGTTATGGTCAGAACACGAGCTATGAGAGCAAGAATTGAACTGGTTTATTTTAATACCAATCTCAGTGTGCTCGAATGTAAGTGCGTTGAGCAAATATTTAGGGCACGTCTCGCTGGTAGATAAATCATGTATGGAGGACGGATGGCAAATTGTTCGTTTTTTCTCGAATCATTATTTCCAGAAGCTTCTGGGTCTTATCGGTGATATAAAAGAGACGAAAGAACTTTCCTAGGCAATATTTACCGGTAGTGGTCGGATGCAATATGATTTTTACTAGTTTGGCTTCCCCAATTTGTTCATTTCAACACTCACAACACTTTTTCGGTTAATCAAATTTAAGCGTGAGATTTCAATGTGTTCGACAAATTGAATCCCACTTATCATTCAAATACCGATTTTTCCATTCAAAATTATAACTTTATAAATCTCAGACAGAACCACATTTTAGAATGAAAGTTTACCTCATTCAACATAATAAAGCCCAATATCCTTATCAATACCGATTATATGACGCGAAGGTATAACCTGTAATCTCTGACAAGTGAACGCTTGAGGCAATCTCATTCCTTCTGAAGAGGTTAGATTCAATGGGTGTGAGAAACAACTGTATCTATCTCAAATTAAGACTCTACACCGAGGATGAATTTTTTTAAGTACCTCTGCAAGCTTAATCTCATGAACGAGAACCTTATCAAAATAAAAACAAGTGCCTCCGAAGTGTGTTATGACACTGAACCAGAGTGCGCTACATCGAACATATTATCGTGATAGCAAACACTTGCTCGTTAAACTGCGGTCTACGCTAACTCTAATAAACAATGGGACTCTTGCTAGGTTGGACACTCACATTTGCGGATCATACTCTCTCATTGAACACTGGTTAATTGCAAAACACTATCTACATGAAGACAAAGCGGCATTGGTTGATTAATGAAATAACAATTGTTGTTATACAAAATGCTCGTAGGACGTGCGTGTGGCTGGGCGGGTGTTTTATTGTAATCACTCCCGTATAGCACATTTGTAGCAAAGCCAATCACAGAAGCAAGCAACTCTATTTACTCGCCGAAACAAGTGCACTTCTACGTGTATCTTCAGGATTGCCGTACTTTATCATGCTGAAGTCGCTGCTGCTAACTTTGTTCGCATTCACCGATAATTCCGAAAGAATTGTGTGGCTTTGTACAGCAAAAATTGACACTCCACCGTAGCAACGTCTCTGGCGTTCAAGATAGGTAACTCACATCGATCGTGCTCCTGCGATTTCTTTTCTTTACCGTTGTATGCTTGGATCGACGACATTCACTGTGTGGCAAGGTCTTGACCGCCCTGTAGTGCTTTCAAGCTCCAAGAAATTTTTCGGGCGTCATTCCGAAATTTACCACACACATCAATCGCACAAGACCATAGCTCAACTAGACGTATCGTTACGCATGCAACTCCAGTTAGAATATGCCGTCTTCATTGCCGCTGTACTCACTACAGCTGTTAAGGCGAAACAGCTCGGTGCGATGATCCCACAGAAAATGGTCC